CCCTATATATAATTTTAGTATTTCATATTTGAACGTAGACCCCAAGATGTGTTGTGTTGTAAGAGTGAAATACCGAAAAAAGTTTTCATTAACGGTTGTCCATCGCTAATCTATAAATATAAACTGGTTTAATTATATCATTTGCAAAGGCCCTCTATAAAATCAAACAATTAAATAATTTAAAGATCTGGTTCTTTATTTTCAATTAGGAAATTATCAGATTTTAAGCCATAGAATCATAGCAGGGGGGCAAACAATGATCATAATTTAACATATCGATAATAAATGAGTGAATGTGCATGTACAATACGTATATATAAATTTTTAATATACTCGTATTCTTTATTTGGTCTAGTTCGATCCCATGCTTGTTATTTTTCATCTGAAGAAAAATAAAATGAATCTTCACTTGTCATTCGTTTCAATACATATAATTTATTGTGTGTGTGGCTTGTGTGGCCGTTAAAAATTTTGATCGACTAACTCGGTTATCTGCGTCCAACGTGACAAATCAAATCCTGTCAGACTTTGGATATAACTTCATCACATTTGTATTTACGATGTGACATCCAAATCAGATTTGGAATTGCGTGATAATAATTTATGTATATTACTTAAATTAATTATATTGTAAATTGTAAACAACTTTTCAATTACAATAACAAATATAAAAACAGATATGTCACATTAATCAAATATATTGTTTTTTAATGTAATCAATAAAAGATAGAAGTTGAGAGAACTTTATAAAAAGGTTGGATTGGGTGGGTTTTCTGTTTCGTTGCAAGACTTATTACTTCTTGTTCTTTTTTTCAAAAAAAAAAAAATTCCTGATTTCGTAAAAAAAAAAACTCGCTTGTTAGAAAGAAGAAGTATATCTAACGAAAAAAAAAAAAAAAAAAAAAATAATATAAAATAAAAAAAAAAAATTTATATATATAAATAAACTTGTTTAAAAACAAAAAGCCACCTTAGCGTTATATTCTTTAATTTTTTTTTTTTTTTTTTTTTTTTTTTTACAAACACCAACGTATATATAAAGACCAGTTTTCGCTACCAAATATTTTTTTTTTTCCTTTTATTCACAAAAAAAAAAAACTTTAGCGAGATCATTTTTTATTATCAAAGAAATTCTTTTTTCCCTCAAAGTTTTTACAAAAAAAAATTTTTTTTTGATTCCCCATCAAAGGTTTCATTTTTTACCCAAATTTGTTTATCAATTAGAAATGTCAGCTACAACAGCTAAACTTTCCGTTACCGTCGCTGCTGGTTCTCGCGGTTTTTCGGAATATGATCGTCATTACTCAACGGTACATGGGAGACGAATTGGAATTCAGGATTTAATAAATGAACCCGTTCGATCTTCGTCCTCGGTTAGCACTTCACCAGTTGAACCTCATCTTCAGTATCACTTGAATCGACATCCTAGCTCTGAATTAGGATCAAATCAATTTAGGAATTATTCTTTATCTCCACCTCAACCTCATTTACCTTTACCTCAGCAAAATATAATCTCCACGCCTTCTATGGAACTTGAATCTTATAAGTTACTTACCCCTCTCACCTCACCAACTCAAAATCCCGTTACCCCTTCAAATTATAGCCCAACTTCCAATTCAACATCATCATCTGTAAAATCGGATGATCAAAATTCATATATGACAACCATTCAAACTTCGGGAATGATTATGCCACTCTCCTTGCAAGAACGTCGCGAGAGGAATAAGATTGCGTCTGCAAAGTACAGAGCAAAGAAACATAAACAAAATCAAGAAATGAGTTCAACCATCGCCGAATTGAGCGCCGAAAACAACGTTCTATTAAGACAACTCGAAGAGGCCAAATCAGAAAATTTGGAATTGAAAGAATTAGTCGACAGACTCAAGAGCAAGCTCGTGGAAGGAAAGATATTGAAACGATTGGGACGAGGAGGTGCAAAGTCATTGCTCTCCCCAACATCACCGGTGGAAGATTTGGACATAACCTCAAACGTTACCACGACCGTGAGGAAGAGTTCAACAAAACGTGGTGGATTTAGCAGTCACGCAAAAGGAACTGGGCCTTCAACAAAAGGTTCTCGCAAGTAGAAATTTGTGGCATAATAAAATTTTCATTTTTCTCATTTTTTAAACATCATCATTATTCCAAGACTTTAAGGTTAACGAAATTACATTCATCATTTTTTTTTCATGATTTATAGATTAATTTTTTTTTTCAACACCCATATAATTTTTTTTTCTTCTTTCATCATCCCACCTTTTCTTCTTCTTCCTATAAAATGTAAAGATTTTTTTTTTTTTAAACTCTGTACAAACCTGTGCATATTATTTCCTTATATATATATATATAGATATTTTTTCATGTTTTCGCGGGGGGGGGGGTGGGCTTCACAATTTTTTTTTTCTTTCACCTTAAATTTTAATTATAGGATGATTTTTTTTAATACGTAGTGCAGGTTCTCTAGAGAATCATTTCGCAAATAGTGCTTTTTTTGTATTAGAATAATTTCCTTTCCCTTTTATGCTTGTTTCTTGTTTCCTTTTTTTTTTTTTTTATTTTTTTTTAAAAAAAAAGTGGTCAATTTTTTTTGTATATTTTTTTTTTCTTTGGTTTTCACACACTCTTAAGGTCCTAATAATAATTGGGGTTTTAATTTTTTAAATATCGGTTTTTTTTTTTTTCTGTAATTGAATTTTTTTTTTTTTTTTGGAGTTTTTTCACAAAAAAATTTCATGTAATGACTCATAAATAAAAAAAAATAGTTTTAAAAAAAAAAAAAATGTGTTCTTGTTTGGATTTTGATGGCAAAGTGTCATAAGTTAAATTGATGATTTCTTCAATTTTCAACGTTCATTATTAACAAATGAGTCAAATGAACACGTTACACGTCTGAAAGTCTTATCTTAACAAAATTATCTCATAAGCAGACTTTTTTTACGATTACGATTAAAAGTGGCATCATCTCACATCACGAAATTCTAATTAACTATCAAGGTCTGCATTAAGGCGGAATCGTGTCATCGTGTGGGATATGACCCAAATAGTTCCATTGAATGTGTTGGTGTCACACAATATTACCTAAACATTAGAAAAAAAAAAGTGCCAAACTTTATTTGCTTGTTTTTTTATTATTATTATTATTATATATTGTGAAACGGAACAAAGAAACGAAAGTGTCATTCATTCCCATCATATTTTAAATTTTACTCTAGTTTATTTCTATAAATATCCACCACATGTGGAATGATGAAATTGTAAAAAAAAAAATAGTGGTACTGCGTTTAATTTACGATAATTAGAACGAGCGGTATCTCCGCGAAAAGATCTTCAAAAAATACTGACAACTTCGGTAAATTTTGTAGATTATGAGAAAAAAGTAATTCAGAATGAATTCATTTATTCTTTAAAAAAAAAAAAGAAAAAGAAAAAAAAAAAGATGTAATGTAATGTAGTTCAGGAAAAAGGGGGGGAGAACTCTGTTTAAAAATAGATTTTTAAACAGTTTAAACCTGTATAAACTTGTTCTGAATGTTTTAGGTTACCAATCGTTTTACAAAAAAAAAAATTTTTATTTTAGAAGTTTTTTTGTGTATTTTAACAAATCATATAAATCATATGTGACCTTTAATGATAAAGTTTACCAAAATGGTGAAAATCTTGCATCAAAAGTGATTTAGATGATGACATCGTCTCTTCATCTTGTATAAAAAAAAATCAAAATCAAAATAATAAAAATAAAAATAAATAAAATAAAATAAATAAATAAAAAAAAAAAAAAAAAAAAGAATAATCGTAAAAAATAATAGATAATATAACAATGTTATCAAAAAGTTCAAAAGAATATGTACAGTATATGGATAATATAATATATACATTACAGATTATTATATAATATACAATCCGGTTTATGCATAATTTAGCGAAGAAAGGTTTTTTGACTTGGATTTTTTTTTTTAAAAAATACATTTTGTATTTATTTTTACCCATCCAGTTGTTAATGAGTAACCAGATTTGGAACAAGCTAACGTCGGAATTCGGAAACCGTTCGGGAAACCGGCTTTATAAGTATCCTTTATCAATCGAAGCAGATTTGGCTTATTATTATTATTATCATCATTATTGTTTTTCTGATGTTCTTCTGTGGCTATGATAAGACTCTACATAAAATAAAAAAAAATTGTACATTAAAAAGATTGTCACGAAAGAAAAACAAAAAGAATAAGCCTTAAATCACTTGAGTAAACAAAATCACGTAATAAGTTAAAAAAAGGCATTCGAAAATGTAAAACTTGTCAGGGTTCCCATATTTTCGTGGCTTTTCCACCTTTTTTATTGGCGAGTTTCGATACTTCCATGATTCTTTTTTATTTGTATGCGATTTCCCGATTGAAGAAATTTTTAAAGAATTCGTCAGATCTAATGATGGCACGCGTCATCAACTTTCGTACAAAAAGGGTAATCAATGCACATTTGTAAACAATAATCTCATGCTTCACTCACATTAGAACCTACGATGACAAGAATAAATACTCGAAGGGTTCTTTGTTCAGAATGATCCAATTTTGTACTGTATTAACGTGAAAATCTCAAATGTTCTCGCCTATATTGGTTAATAATATCGTAACACGCATTAATAAAGATCTCAAAAGTATGTTCTATCAGATTTTTACTATAAATAAATCTCATTCCAGTTGGTAAATAAAAATAACAATATATGTATGTATATTTTTTTTTTCTCACACAAGGATGTTCGATTATATTATCGGATGAAAGACTCCGGCAAAACAGGTTCTGAAAACTCCGATGGGAAAAAAAATAAAGGTCGCGTAATTACTTTCCTTCATGCTCGCGTTCCTTGGATTTCATGCCTTCATCAAGTTATATTAAGGAACATACAATAAACCATTTTCACACCACACAATGATGAATACGTTTGGTGACAATACAAGGAATCAAGCCACACATCCGGAAATGAATGTATATGTCACATAAAGGGTTGGTCACAATATATGTTTCCTTGATGAATGATTAGTAACATTGTCCGAGTACATCTTCGAATCAAAATGTTGCAGAATTATCCACTCGTAATCCGCCGCGGTACATTTATGAGGCTAATAAAGTGAAATTAAATCTTTCCTCTACCTTTCAGCGTTGACGATCACTCTTGTAGCACGCATACAATCAATTTGTTTTTGGTTCAACAATCCTTGTTTTTACATTATGATAATTTGGTTGGGAATTCCTAAACATCACCAAAAAAAAAAAAAAAAAAAAAGCGTCGAACAATTTTTTTTTTTCTTTTAATGTAAAGAAATCATTAAAATAATCGGAAAAGGAAAAATGTATTATACATTATTGATAAACGTTTGCTATAATAAGAAATAAAAAATAAAAAACCTCCCATAAAAAAAAAAAAAAAACAAAATTGAATTTTTCTCTTCAATTATTATTAAACAACAATGAATGAACATTTCGATGATAATGACAAAGACAATAATATTAATGGATATTATTAATTAAAAATCAAATAAGATAAGAAAAAAGGGAGGATTTTCCACCTACATGGTGGGTCATAATAATGCACAATAGATTCAAAAAAATCCTTACAATCATAATTAAAATTTGGAAATTTAAATAAAGTTCAAACGTATTCTGAATTCACACTATTTGTTGAGTCTTGGTACCCTGATGAGCTTAATGTTTTTTTTTCTTTTAGAAGTTCGCTGTTTTTATTGGTAACCTTTATCATTCTTTGTATAAATTGAATAACCTTCTTATTGTTTCTTCGTTTTCGGAAAAAATTAATTATTATTGTTTACCATTTTTAGTAAGTCCTTAAGCTAACGAAGATCAAAAGCAATTATTATCTTATATACGGTTAACCTATTTGGTGAGCAACCCTTTTGAAACCTTTATATGACGCAGAGCTGCGGGGAACAAAAGGACTTCCGAAATCATGGTGAATGGTCGCATGTCACGTGAAAATCTGATGTCAAAGAAATTTTCGGATTTACGAAAGCTAGGTTGATGCTAGATAACTCTCATTTGACGATTTGACGATGACCTTTACAACGAGCATGAACGTTCTGAACGGTAAAGAATAACAAAAATCATGAAACACTTGAGTCATGTGCCTCATCATTATGTGTCTTTTTTGTCTTGATTAGTAATGACATATCGAGAAAAGAAAAAGAAAAAAGATTTCCCTTTCATTTGTCTAAAAAAAAGACCTCATTGACTCGGATGTATCGGAAGAAAAACACCATCTGCAAATGGATTTATTTTAACCAACGTCTCATTATTTAAATACCACGTTAACATAAAGAAAAAGGCCAATTTTGGTATAATAATTAAATGTGCGGACATGGAAATATTTCTACTTTTATGGTATTCATAAACATCATAATGGTTTCAGGATTCCCATTCAAGGTGCATCCAACGCGCGTTCCGATCCCGTGATATCTCTGATCAGTCACCGTGTGATTAGATGAACATGCAATCTCTGAATGACGTTCCCTCCCACTTGTGCATCATCTTTTCCTAAATTAATATCGTTGGTTAGATAATGACGCGCTAGGTGCTTACCGTTTTGCTCAAAAAGAGGAATTTTCATTCTCAATGAGAAAAAATTGTTCATTTATGGATTCTTATGGTGATCACCATTTAAATGGTTTCTCATATTTTAGGTAAACTTGTGGACATAATCTTTTTTTTCGTTAAAAATTGATCAACAACATTCATGACGTTTCTTGACGCAACTAATGCATCTAACCTGATGGATTCGCCTAAATCTATTTAGGAAATTTTATTGATGTCCATACGAATTTGTTTATTTATATTAATTTGAGCTAAAAATAAATCCAATAAATTTATTATTGTTGAACACGTTTTAAATTTAGAAATCGTACTACCAATCTACCAATCACATGACTTTTAAATTGCCAAGTGTAACTATGTGAAAAAGAATGACTTCATTGCACAACGAGATCGAGGTGCGGACACACGAACGGTTTCTTTAATTACACGAGGTTCATATATAAAAAAAAAAGAGTACCGTTCAATAAACGGCCGAGTTTTATCAAACAAAGGTTTTTTTTTTTATAGGAAAGACAAATTAATCAAACCAGTAGAAATTGGGGGTGGGCAAAATCATAACAATTTAACGAATTTTTTTATTATTCATTTCTTTAATTTTTCTATAATAATCTAAATTAAAAATTTTAATGTATTCGTTTCACTCCCAATGTGATCTTATGTCATGTAGGAAGAAAACCGGAATGAAGTCGTCGTACAATATATGTAAATATATATATTCTTTCTTTACATGTATAAAAAAGAAATAGGATAATAAACAAAGAAATAATTGATTTACAAGTAATATTTACGTGATCTATCAGTGTTGATATCTGTTTATGAGCGGAGGAAATCGGTTTACATGAATAAAATAACCAATGCCAGTATAATTACACGTGTGAACAGATAAGGAATAATATATATATATATTTTTTTATTTTATTTTTTAAGTTATAAAAAAAACTTGAATTTTTACGACTTAAGCCACCAATAGCAGAAACACAATTTTTTTTTCCCTCAGTAAAGGAGATTTCAGATAGATTGGATAGATTGATTTTAATCTGATGTATTATATAAATAAAAACTGAATAGAGGATGATAAATAAGAAAGGATAAAACTACTTTTCTTCGTGTTTGTGTTTCGTGATCGTACGAGAATAAATAAACGAAAAAATTATCTTGAAACCTTATGTGAATCAGCTAATATATGTGAGTATGTGTGTGTATATATATTTATTATTTAAAAAAAAATAAACAAGAACTCTGTAATAAATATATTAGTGATGAACGAGTTTTTATCAAACGATCGATTGTTTTTTATTTAAACATTTTCATCCTTTTCCGTATGATAGGTGATAAAAAATAAAACGTTATAAGAGAGGCTCGTATCACATAGTACATTGCATGCAATAAAACGCAAAAATTCGTGTGTAAAATTAATGTTTTGCGACTAACGTTGGGTTTTCGTCACACGTGACTTTTGGGAAGGAATGATCGTCAAAAACTTATAAACATACACAGTATAAATATTGTATATATAGTATAATATATGTATATATATATATTTTAACACATAAATTTAGATTAGTTCAAGGTCTGAGAAAAGAATCCCTAAATTTCAAAATCCAAAGGAATTCTTTGATTTATCTCCTTGTTGACGGTAGCATTACATACATATTCAACCATTCCAGTGAACCCATTAACCTTTGTGATACATTAATTAAACATCGCTTGCCAAGCTTTGTCTTGGGAGTATCTCAAGCTCCTCGCCAAGTTTTCTTGAATGTTACACGTAAAGAAACAATTCGATTTATTTTGTAAAAAATAGGATTTATTTTGCACTTTCTAGTACTTGTTCTTTTTCTTGTTCTTGTTCTTGTTCTTGTTTTTGTTTTGTTTTTTGTTTTTGTTTTTTTATTTTTTTTTGTTTATGTTTTTTTTTTTACTTATTTTTGTTCAGTAATTTTTTTTATTTATTTTGATTTCTTAGACTTATTAAGAAATTCATTTAAGATCTCCTTTTCTAGATAAGATTTCCTTCGTGACAACTTATAATTGCTAACATCGCAGAGAAAAACAAGAGGTGATATGCAACTTGTTTATTAATACACAATCAATCGAAAGGAGTTTTTATTATTATTGAAAATCTTGTGAAAAAATTCTTTTTATATAATATCGTAATAGTTTGATATTCGATCAAAACTTCTACACAAGTATTAATTAAATCACATCCCTCACAAAGGTACAAGAAATAATATTGTGTTATGCTAACGCGTCATTTTGATCACTCACAACACGTAATAATCTCATCCTTTACACAATCGAAATTACGGATAGCCGAGTATTTTCTTCGTGATGCAACGAAAGTGACCGATTTCATGCATGTTTACCACAAATCTACAAAATAAAGAGTTGTTTTATCAAGGAAATCTTAAAATTGTCGTTTTGATTAAATTGGGTCGATTTAGTGATATTCGGCAAAATTTTTACGCTCAATTAAAAATTCGGTGGCGCGTTTGCTATATGTCACGAGCGTGAAGCAACGAGTCACAACTTTGAAATCCGATCAGGTGACGTTTCATTTGTTTAAAGTTCAAAAATTTCACATAGAAAACTTTTTAAGTAAATAATAATAATAAAATAAGTATATATGAAGAAAAAAAAAAAAAGATGTTAATTAATCATAAGATGATAATTGATGATAAAGAGTTATACCTTTATCGGTACACGCTTTAGCCATTTCGTCGTTCATTATATTTTTATTATATTATAATAATGGATGTGAGAAGAAAAAGAAAATTTTTTTTTAGATTGTATAATGAGTGGTGGTTAAATGAAAATTTGAAACATTTAAAATCATCCCTATATTTTATCAAGAGGTAACATAAAATGAATTCGTATGGCTTTTATGTGACCCTAATTTGTAAATGTAAATGTTAATAAATAAAATAGAACAATAAAAAAAGGTTACATTAATCTTAAGAGATAAAATCGAATGTCTCTCTTTTTAAAAAAAAAAAAGTGATAATCAATTGAACCCAGGTAGAAATAGGAAGAATCACAAAAAGTAAGCCACACTGACGCGTCTTGACTGGTTATCTTTCCAATTAAATAAAACATTTCATTTTTAACTTAATTTATTTTAATTTATTTATTTATTGTAAAATTCTTCTCTTTATTATTCTAGAAGTGATATATATCTATCTATCTAATCTAAAATTTTGAACATTACGCGGCAAAACTTGCATCTATTGTAAACGTCAAATGACCTAAAATATATACATCCTTATAATAATGGTTTTACGGTATACTGATTCCGCAAGAAGATATTGTCCTTTGTTGTTTTGTGGTAACATGCAATATTATAAAGTTTTCATTCTTAAATGAGATTCTACTTCTAAATCATCAACAAGGCATAAATAAATATGTAAAAAGGATTTAGTTAAAAGAATCATCAATTGCCCTTTTAAAAGGCATATATTTTTTTTTCCTTTCTTTCTTTATTATCCATGTCATGTGAACGTTTTTAACTTTATTCTCTGCAAAGGACTTATGAAATAAAATAGTGTCTTTTTTTTTTTTTTTTTTTTTTTTTTTTTTTTTCTTCTTTACGGAAGCCTTTGTCTATTAAAGGTCAAAATCAATTTACAAACATTAAAATGGATTTATAGAAAGTG